ATTGGGCTCTCTGCTCAGCAGGGAGGCTGCTTCCTCCTCTCTCTCTGCCTGTCTCTCTGCCTACTTGTGATCTCTGTCTGTCAAATAAGTAAATAAATAAATCTTTAAAAAAAAAAAAGAAAGAATTTGGAAAGTGGTGGATTAAATAAAATTAAACATTTCCTGACTGAAGATTACGTTAGATCCTTAAATTAGTGTTTTGTAAATTCCTAAGAAGATACAGCTCATAGACCCCACAGCACAGTTAATATCTCTGTTTTACTCATTTACCTCACCATTCCTCTTGTCTCCAAGGAAGAAGTGATTTCCTCCTGGTAAATGTTAGTCTCTCTACTTGTTCTCCAGGTTCTTTCCCTGTGTCTTCAGAGACCTTGCTTCATAATCAGTGCCTTGTTTCCTGCTTCCTTTCCTTCAGCCTATCAACATGCTTGATTTTCTCCTATTTAAACAAAGTAGTAACCCTTTCCATACAGCATACATAAAAATAAACTTCAAATGGACTGTGGACCTAAAAATGTAAGAGCTATAAAATTCTTAGAATAAAATATAGGAGTGGATATTCATGACCTTGGTTATCCAAAGCCTTCTTAGATACTAAACTAAAAACACAAGCCACCAAAAAAAAAAAAAAAAAAGGTAAGTTGAATTTCATCAAAATTAAAAATTTTTGTGCTACAGAAGACACCATCAGGAGAGTGAAGACAATTCACAGACTGGGAGAAAGTATTTGCAAAAGACACAGAACTAAAATTGTTTTTAAGGTATGGGTAGAGGATCTAAAGGAACATTTTCCTGAAGAAGGTATACAAATGGTTAATAGGCACATAGGAAGATGTTCAGTATCATTAGCCATCAGGGATATTCTAATCAAAACCACATTGAGACACCACTGCACTAGGATGGCTATGATAAAAAAGATAATAATATTGCTGAGGATGTGGAGAAATTGGAATTCTCATACATTACTGTTGCTGGTGGGAATGTTCGATGGTACTGCCTCTTTGGACGACATTCTGACAATTCCTCAAGTGTTTAAACATAGAGTTACCATGTGAGCCAGCAGTTCTCTCCCTAGATATATATCCAAGAGAAATGAAAACATCCACAAAAAAAACATGTACACTAATGTTCATAGCAGCTTTATTCATAAGAGCCAAAAAGTGGAAATCATCCACATGTCCACCAATTGATGAATGATAAGCAAAACATGGTATAGCCACATTTGTTAATAAAAAGCAATTATTTGTCAATAAAAAGCAGTGAAGTACTGATACATACTCCAACAAGAAAGAACCCAGTCACTAAAGGTCATATATTGTGTGATTTCATTTGTATCAAAGATAGGCAAATCTGTAGAGACAGAAAGTAAATTACTGATTGCCTACAGCTAGATGGGGTTGGAGAAGGGTTGGGGATAAATGAAAGGAGTGACTTCTAATGGGTTTCTTGATGGGGTGATGAAAATGTTCAAAAATTGATTGTGGTGATGGTTGCACAACTCTCTGATTATACTAGAAACCATTAACTCTGGCAGTTGCCACTAATGACTTGTCTCTCACATCCTTGAAACTCGATTCTTTTGGCTTTCATGGCATTGTTCTGCCATTCCTTGCACATGGCTCTCAGACATTTCCTTCTCAGCTCTTTTCACCAACTTACTCTTCCACCAGCTGCAGTCTGTTTCTTCAGCCCAGGCTAGTCAATGGAGGAACCATCTCTTCAGTTGCTTATGGAACATTTGCTTATCTCCATCTAAATACCCCATGGGTCCTAATGAGTTTTCCTCTCAGATATGGTTTGCTCTTCCTATATTATCTCTACTCCCAAGTCTATTTGAGTCAGGAGGCTGGGAGTCATTCTAAATTTCTCCCTTACTCTCCACCTGGAGTGTCATGTAGGTGCACCTCTTAAGTCTGCCCTCATATCCATCTGTACCCTAGCTCATTTGTAGTTTATCTTTCACGAAGACTCTAAGCTCTGCGAGGTCAGGGGCCACATGTCTTTTCTTCACTACTGTCTGTAATACCAGGACATTGTATGTTATATAAATATTTGATCAAATAAATGAACTAATGCATCAACTTGTCATTGTAGTTTTTTTAAATATTTGGTTCATTTTTGCTGCTGTATTTCTCTTATTGAGATGGAAACCTAATAATGTCTTTTGCTTAGAACTATTAAATAATTTCCCACTGCTTACAGAATAAAGCCTAAATCCTTGTTGGCCCTCCCTAACGTCCCTTACTGCCTCTCCAACTTCTCATCCTCTCTATACTTCCTCCCTGTGGATCTGTGTTCCCCGAACTGGCCATACTGGGAAGCTATCCTTTCTTCCCCAAATCCTGTAACTCTTGGAGAACTCTTACCTGTCTTTCTAGAGTTTCTTTTCCTCTGTGAAACCTCTTCTGCCTCACTGACACAGAGCTGAAGCTTGGATGTAACTCTATTAGAGGACACATTACACTGCGTTACAATGATTTGTTTAAGCATTTGTCTTGTCTGTCTGTGAAAGGCAAGGACTGAGTCTCATTTATTTTTGTATTGCCGTCACACACAGTGTTGTACACAGTGTTGTTCCTGCCACATAGGAAGTACTCAGTAAGTTCTTGAGTAAGTGAGTGAGTTGGAAACCAGAGTAGTTTAGAGAGTCCTAGTTTTTCTGGATATACAGCTTTTTAAATACCCAACTCTAGTATATCATCTATGAATGATGCAAAAGGTACCGTGGGAGTGGATGAATCCCAAGTCCATCCCCACTGCAGGAAAACGACCAAAAATGTTGCTGATGGTGGGCACGTATGTTATCATTGTCCTTGTATTACCCAGATGTGGTACTGGACACAACTGTGTATTGTAATAGCCATTCAGTATAATGGATTGATCAGCCTAAATGCTTACACTGTAGAAACAGTGATTTTAACCAAACTAAGTATAAGACTTTTTTATTTTTAAGATTTTATTTATTTATTTGACAGACAGAGATCATAAGTAGGCAGAGAGGCAGGTAGAGAGAGAGGGGGGGAAACAGGCTCTCTGCTCAGCAGGGAGCCTGATTCTCGGGGCTTGATCCTGGGACCCTGAGATCATGACCTGAGTGAGCTGAAGGCAGAGGCTTAACCCACTGAGCCACCCAGGCGCCCTACCAAACAAGTATAGGCAGAAGGATGCACATTCCCTTGTCAGGTCCCAATCAGTTGGTTTCCATCATTTAGCTCCATAGTTGGCCTACTATAACTTTAACTGTACATTAGGCTTACATTTTCATCATTCGCATCTTCTTGTCCAAATACATTAGAAACTTGTGTTGATTACCATCTCCCTGCTTCCTTTAAATGTGATGTTTTATAGATGTTCTCTGTTCTATACACTTAGAAATCTGTAACCCCAGTCCTCCCTGATGTGTTTTGTCTTCCTGTTTTCTTAGTTTAGCTAAGGGCGACATCTGCATTAACATATTTTTTTTAGTCTGGGTAATGACTTGAACCAGCCAAGCTCTTTTTTTTTTTTCTTTTTGCTGGAAAGAAACCAAATCTCTCTACATTACTGAACTAAATTGAGAAGATTGTGATAAAAGGAGTAATAATAACAACAGTAGAAGACAAAAGGCCTCTCACAAGGAATTTTGAACTAAAGTCACATATTGAACAAAAGATATTTAAATTAACTACTGAATAAAGTAAGAGCTCTTCAAAAGAAACAGGGCTTCCTGCCAAGCCCCATAAAAATTGCCCCTAGGCCTCTTACTCATTCACTACCATTATTTCAGTTTATCTGTCTAAGGATGCTTTATTTCTTATCTCATTCTCTTCCCACCACCTAGCGGGACACATAGTTGGCACTCAACAGCCTGTTGATTGAATTGAGCGGAATTGGGCCTCAAGAGTTAGAGGCAATTCTCTGAAGAAAAAAAATAAAAGAGAAATAGTTTTAGCAGTGAATAGAACCAACAAATCTTAATTTCAGCAATGGAATAAAGCTTGGAAGTAATAAAATGTATTTATTGTAAAGTTAGATTACTTCGAAAGGGTTGTTTTTAAATGCTGATCTGGAAAACCTGCTGAGAACTTAAACTATAACTAAGACTATTTGTCATTCTTTTCTTTGCCTTTTTTTTTTTAACCCTTTAACTGTGGGTCTTTATAATAAGATTTAAGGTTAGAAAAATCAGGCATCTCCTTTAACTCACAATCATAAAGTGTATAGATAAAATATATAGGCAGTGAGAGCCTTTACATTTTGCATTTGTTAATCGTTCCATACCTTGCTTTGTTCCTAAAAAGAATTTGAGGTCTTAATGAGGACTTAAGGTAGAAAAGATGAAGGTAAATTTCCTTTGTCAGAGTTAAAAGGGAGTTTGGCCAACCTATAGTAGACAAATAAGGAGATACCTAAAGAGATCACATAGCTTAGAAGACATATGTGAGTAATTATATGATTTATTTGAGGTCACATTACCATTATTAGCCAAGCTGGAACTGGAAACCAAATCACCAAATGTGTTCTTAACATGTGTGTAACAAAAACATATGTCTTGCACTAGTCAAGTGTATGGGTGACTGGTGCAGTACAGGTTTGAGAAGCATTTGTTAAGATTATTCCTTACCAGGGGAGTCTGGATGGTTTAGTTGGTTAGGCATGGGACTCTTGATTTCAGTTCTCAGGGTCATGATCTCAGGGCTGTGATCTCAGGTCATGGGGTTGAGCCCCGGGTCAGGCTCTGTGCTCAGCGCAGAGTCTGCTTGGTCCCTCTCCCTCTGCTCTTCCCCCTGCTTATGTTCTGTCTCTCTGTCTTTAAAATAAATACATAAAATCTTAAAAAAAATTATTACTGACCTGCTTGTTTGCAAAGTTTAGCCTGTAATATGAATCATACGCTTCGCATTTAAGGCTGAACTCCAGGAATATGTTTTTCTGCAAGCCGTGAAGATTCCTGCTAGTTAACAAAGAGCATTTTGTGAATTAATCCCCAATTGTTCTGCTCTTTTTATTTGAAAAAAAAAAAAAAAAGGGGTGCTGAAAAAACTATTTCTGTTTAGATAGTGTGGGGAAGGAGGAGAAAAGTGCATTTCCTGTCATTTCCTGGTGATGGCTTAAAAATGTCCAGTTTTGTCTTGGCTTGCCTAGACAGACTTTGCCAGTTGATCACAAACAGAAGATGTCTTTCTGGTCCTGCATATCTTCAGGAACTGGCTTCTTTGGAATTTCTTGAGTTGATCCTTTAGTGATAGAACACTGACTTGGAAAGATCTAGAAGAGAGGATGACAACCTTTGAATAAATAGGCAGGTTAAGTTACATAATCCTCTCTGCCTTTGCTTGGTATACAAAGCCCTTCCCAGGGTGACTGGAGCTTTTCTTTCTAGCCTCATTTCTTTTGCTGAGGTGCAACCAGCCTGTTTTTCCTGTCTAGTCAACCATGTGCTCAAACACATCTGAGCCTTTGCTTGTTTTCTCCTTTCTGCTTAGGCTGTCTGATCCTTCTCTTCTCCATCTGGCAACCTCTGCCTTTCCAGGCCCAGCTCCTTTCTTCTGTGAAGAGAACACATTAGCAAAGGTAGAAATGAAAGTTCATCTAGAAGCTGTGTGAATAGTGAATTAGAAGAAGGAAGTCTGGAGGCAGGAAGGCCAGTTTTAGGAGACAGTGAAAGTCCCACAGACCTAACTTGTGCAATATAGTAGCTACTGGCCACATGTGGCAATTTAAATTACAATTAATTGAAAGAAGCTGATCTGTAAGTTACACATACTGGATGTTCTGACTATATGACATTCTGGGAAAGGCGAAAGTGTGGAGACAGTGAAAAAATCAGTGGTTGCTAGGGATCTGGGGGCTGGGAGGCAGGAATAGCCAGACCACAGGGATTATTGGCATGGTTCTTTTTGGATACCATAATGATGGATACGTGTTATTGTGGATTTGTCAGACCCATAGAATGTACCATACCAAATGGACTGTCATGTAAACTATGCATTTTGGGTGATTATGATGTAGTCAGTGGTAGGTTTATTGCTAGTAACAAATGTACTTCTCTGGCAGGGATGTTCATGGGGGAGGCTGTTATTGTATGGAGCAGGGAATGTTTGGGAAATCTCTGCAGTTTCCCCTCAATTTTGTTATGAATCTAAAATGCTATGAGAAAAAAAAATCTTAATTATAAAAATTAAAATTAATTAAAATTGAATTAAAAGTAATAACTTCATTCTTCAGGTGCACTAGCCATATTTCAAATGCTCAATAGCCACCTGTGGCTAATGGTTACTGTATTGGGTAAGATAAATTAAATAGAACATTTCTGTCTTAAAGTTTGCATTGGACAGCATTGCTAAAAATCAATTCCTCAAGGGAAATGGCATTCATTCTACATAGTCATGCTTTATGTGTTGTGCCTTAAAAATGGGATCATGTATTCATTGTACCTAACTTAATTCTGGACTGAGTGTCTGAAGATTGGAGTGATTGTGGATATCACCACAATATGAATGCAGCTTAGAACAGTGAATCAAATTTAGTGTCTGTCACTTAAATACTTAAAAATAGCTTCTGGATAAGTGGCCTTGAACATTTTAAAAAAAGATTATATTTATTTATTCAAGAAAAGGGGGAGGGACAAGCAGCACTCCCTGGTGAGCAGGGAGTCCTACTTGGAGCTCAGTTCCAGGAGCCTGAAATCATGACCTGAGCCCAAGGCAGATGCATAACTGACTGATCCACCCAGGTGCCCGCCTCTGGGTAAAATTTTAGTATATATTTTTCTTTCCCGACCTACCCCTACCCTTAAAAATAGAGACATAAAATAATTAAATATTCTTTAGTAATTACCTCCCCTGGGGTCAGAATATTGGCTATTTGCAAAAATGTTTTAATGGGTTTTTTTGGGTTTACTCATGATTGTTTTATTTTTTGATGATAAATTGTAGCCATCTATCAGTCTTCTAGCATTGCGCTTTCAAAAACCTTTCACTTAATTGATCTAGAAGTCATTCCTGATTTTTTTCCCCCTCAGCCTACTCCCCTTCCACTGTACCTCCCAGTCTAAGTGCACGTCTTATTACTTCTTCCTCCAAAAGAAAGAAATCTCCATTTCCACTTTCATGTCTTGTTTGAAGGCACTGCCCTCTCTTCCCTGGATGACTGCAGTAGCCTCCTAACTGGTCACCATGCCTCCCCTTGCCCACTAAGATCCCTTTGCCACATAACAGGCAAAATGACTTTTTAAAAAGAAAGTCAGATCATGTCAATCTCCTGTTTAGTACTCCTGCTTCTTACTGTGTTTAGAAAAGATTCCACAGATCTTAACCTGACTTAAAGGGCTCTTTGTGATCTGGTACTTGCCTTCTTATCCAACCCTGTCCCCACACCTCTCCTCACTGAGCTTTAGCCACTCTGGCCTCCTTCCACATCCTTGAATATACTCGGACTGTCCTGCCCTAGGGTCATTTTCTTGTTTCTCCCTTGTTCTTTCCCACCTCTGGCATGAATGGTTTTGTCTCAGCTTCAGGGCCTCAACTCCAGTGTTACTTCCTCAGAGAGGTACCTTCTTTACTTTTTCTGAAGTAGGCTCCCTCTACTCCTACCCCCTACTCTCTATGGCATTGCCCTTATCTGGGATGATTTTGTTGGTTTATTTATTTACTTGAGTACTCTCTAGCTACTACTGGAATTTAAGTTCCATGAGGGCAGGAGACTTATTTTTACTCCCTGCTATACCTAGAACAGTGGTACAACAGTGCCTGGCTTACATAATTGTACTCAGTTGATGTTTAATAATGCTGAATAACTGAATGCTTCTTAAAGGAGACATAAGAGGAACTCACTCCTCTTCCTCCCTTGTTCTCTCTATGTGTGTGTCAAATAAAAGAAATCTCCATGTGTCTAAATGTGAATGTCCTTTTAGGCCCTTTATACTTAGTATGAACCAGTGACTTTTTTGCTGAACTTCATTTTTTACTTTGGGAGATCATGGCTCACAGCTTTTTGAATGGTTGATTTTAGTTGCAAAATATAGTGAACAATACATCTGGAAATATTCTGTCATGTTTTGATCTGAGAAACTCTAGAGAACCAGCTGCTGATTTGAAAGGGTTTTATTATGATACAGACAGCCTATTGTCTACAAAAGTACTGGCTATTACACAGTGGTATATGTGTTTTGCTTTTTTCTGAGCTTTTAACTTGAGAGAAAAAAAACTTGTATTCATTAACTTATGTATGACTTGTATTCCAGGAGAATAGTTTATTGTATTATTTTTCTTTAGCTAATTTACTGTGCACTTAGGGATTTTTCTTACTCATTTTTCTTCTTTAAACTCAATCGAAAGTTAAATGGTTAAATAATAGGATGGAGATACTTTCCATTCCAGATTTTAAAAATTTTCACAGATTTCTGCATTATACTATGGTTTATACTTGTGATTTAGCACTTTTACCTAGCTTTATATTGATAAAATGAGTGAATTTCCTCGTTCTCTATATTCAAGTATAACCTCTTTTAAGAGTAGTTTGTGATATATGATATAACTGTAGTGAAAGAAAAATTGACATCCAAGCCCTACATAGGAATAATCTTGAAGAAAGTGAGTATATGTACTATTTGTGGTATAATAAGTGTATCCGCACATAAACAAAATCTGGGTAGTGTGACTTTTAGTATTTTGATATATTTTTATATTTTTAGCTATTACTGTTTGGAAGATTTATATGAAATGACATAATTACTACAGCTATTAGATGGAAAATAATTACATCTAAATAACCTAAAGTAACGTTTTAATATTACTTTTTAAATTATAAAAATTGTATCTTCTCATTTCAGAAAATTAGAATATAGGATATACAGGTACAGAATTTCCTAAGCATCATTATAACCACTGTTAACATTTTGTTTTGTATTTTTTCAGTGTTTTACTTTGTGCATATAGATTTTTTCGGTTTGTTTTAATCATTCTGTATTTATTATTTTTATAACTTTTAAATGAAATAAAATGTCATAAACATCTTCCTGTAGTGTTGAGTCTTTATAATCATTGTTTTAATAGCCCTATAGTATACTACCTAAAGATAGATCTTAATTTGCTTAACTGTTCTTCATTGTTGGATTAGTTGTTTAAAAACATTTCAGCTTTTATAATTAACATGATCATGAATATTTTTGTAAATATTGTTATTACCACATTTGGTATTATTGCTTATAGGGGAATTCCTAGACATTTTTTGTATTTCTTAATTCATACCAGCAAATGCTTTTCCAAAGAGAGTATGCCAGTTTATAATTCTACCAGAAAGGTATAAAACTATTCCATTATAGAATTCAGCATTATATATTATTTTTTTATAGTTGTTCTATAATTAGGGGGAAAATCATGTTGTTTTAGTTTGAATTTATTAGATGACTGGTGAAGTTGTGTATTTTTGTATATTTGGTTTCTAGTTTCAACATCATAATTTCTTCATATTTCTTCAGTTCCAGTAACATCTGTTTTTTTCTGTATAGACATTTTGGCCTACTTATTACCTTGCTTGATTCATGTACTTCATGCATTGTTTTAGAGATATGGGGTACCTGGCTGGCTCAGTCAGTAGAGCATATGACTCTTGATCTTGGGGTTGTGAGTTTGAGCCCCACTTGGGTGTAGAGATTATTTAAAAAAAAAAAAAAGAGAGGGGCGCCTGGGTGGCTCAGTGGGTTAAGCCTCTGCCTTCGGCTCAGGTCATGATCTCAGGGTCTTGGGATCGAGCCCCACATCGGGCTCCTTGCTCAGCAGAGAGCCTGCTTCCCCCTCTCTCTCTCTGTCTCCTCTCTGCCTCCTTGTGATCTCTCTCTCTGTCAAAAATAAAATCTTAAAAAAAAAAAAAAGAGAGAGAGATAGCAGTTTGTCAATTAAACATATACACATAAATCTCAGTAATGCATTTTTCTCTCTCTTTTTTTTTTTACTGTGCTCAGGGATGCCTTCAAATGAATGGTTCTGAAAAAGGGGTAATACGTTATGTTTGTACTCCATATTGTTGTCCAGGCGTATTGTGGAAGCATATCTGGGAACAGTCTTGATAATTTCAAAAATCTAGAAATTTTTTTTGAATCCAGAAACTTCAAGGATAGATTATATGTAAAGTATATATTTCAAATATGTTGAAGTAATAGTCATTAGAAGTCTGAGAATTTATTATTGAATTGTGAATCTTTTTTCTCCTGTAGGTTGGAAAAGAGACTGTTCAAACCACTGAGGATCAAATTTTGAAGAGAGATA